AAAGACGTGCAATTTGAGGTTGGGTTAACTGCAGGCTTTGCATCAGTTAACAGTAGGTGTGAGTAGGTGTTAGTGCGAAGCGTCGTTAAACTTTGTGTTTCAGCTCTGTGATTGACCGTTGACCTGTATGTCGGTGTATTGTGCGGTGTAAAAATCGTGCGATTATTTTTTGAAGCTGTAGCCGGTAGGGAATAATAATTTTAACAGCACCAAAAAAATGTGTAAAATATCTGAATAATCCTATTTAAATAATACAAAATCACAAGAAATCTACCTGAGCCTTTTCTTGTGAGTATTTTTTTTTTTCAATAATAGCCTTTATATTTGTGTATGTGTATAGTTACGCAGTGTATATACATATATGAAAGCACAAATCCAGCACTTGTAATATCTTAGATATGTTTGTGTGAACCATTACGATGATTCACGTTGTTGTCGTCTACCTTGTGTTCCAGGCCACGGCGTCTGTAACTGTGGTTTCTGCCAGTGTGACCCAGACTGGCAAGGGGAGAACTGTAACTGCTCCAGGCGCACTGACACCTGCATGTCAACTCTGGGTCTGTTGTGCAGTGGGAGGGGCCAGTGTGTGTGTGGGGCCTGTGAGTGCACCCAACCTGGGGTTTACGGGGCCACGTGTGACAAGTGCCCTACCTGCCCTGATGCCTGCACCATGAAGAAGTGAGGCTACGAACAGATAAGCTACTGCTAATTCAAGTTTTAAAAAGTTTCCGTAATCATCACCTTAATTTGACCAGGTTGTCTTTACTTGTGTTTTTGAAAGGGAGTGCGTGGAGTGCAAGCACTTCAAGAGAGGAAGACTGTTTGACGACAACACCTGCTCTCAGATCTGCAAGGATGAGATTGTACTTGTGGATGAAATAGGTACAACCACACAACAACACAACAGCTAATGAAAAAATAATTAAGCACTGGGTTGAATTGAGAAACAGTGTGTTTACTTTACTAACTTTATACAACAGCATAGAAGCAAACCCAGTGCTCATTGTTTTAAACCACACTGTGGCAATGACGAACGCATTTCAAAAGTTCAAAAGTGAATCCCAGCAAGTTGACTGAAAGAGCTATTTTTCTCCCAGGGTTCATCTCCAGTTGAAAAAAAAAAACAACAACAACAACTGTAAATGCAAACACCAGATCCATTATGTGGATTTCCAAACATCAGGAGCAGTTTCAGAGTAATGGTCTGGAAGATCAGTTAGAGCACAGAAAAGTCTGGGTCAGTTAGTGCTACCAAATCAGGAGTGTTAAAGAAGGGGAAGATCATGGAGACTTGGAATATATTCACAAAGGTGGAAAGATTACAAGATGTGGATGACACTAGAAAAAGAGCAGGTAATCACAGGGGCAGAAAGGCACAGGAGGGGAGGCACACGTAATCACAGGGTAGGGAGACACGGGAGGAAGGGCATGACCTGGAACAGGACGTGAAAGAACATGAAATACAGGAAATGGTCAAAAGGTGAAGGACAAGGTGTTTAAACGACAACACCTTAAATTAAATACAGTTCTACAAAAATACCAATCATTGAATGTTCTTTTAAAAGTGTTTTTGGCAGTTGCACTTGAATACCCCCCTTCATCAAGGACCAGGTTAAAGATTAACACTCTTCCTGAAGTAATCCTGCCCAAACCCTACACAGTATTTTCCTAAAACCTTTTCCATGAATTAAGTGGTTATTGTCCTTAATAGAATGTCTATAAAATGTTGATTTAATTCAAATTTTTTTCAGTAAATTGAATTTGTGTGGTTTAACAGACGCCTATGATGTGATCTGAAAAAAATACAATAATACAATACAATTTCAGTAAATTGAATTTGTGTGGTTTACCAAACGCCTATGATGTGATCTGAAAAAAAAAAGCAAAACAATACAAACAAATAAAAACACCCTCTGTTTTCCTTACAGTGCTCCATGATACGAACGCCGTGAACTGCACCTACAAAGATGAGGATGACTGCGTGGAGCGTTTCCAGTATTATGAGGACTCCAGTGGCAAGTCCATCCTGTTTGTCCTCCAAGAGCCAGGTATGACCTTACGTGACCTTACCTAACAGAACGGGACAGAACAGATCCCACTGTGACTGATCGGAATCAAATGACAGTGATGCTACACAGACTGAAAGGAAATATTTAGAAATTAACTTCTTACGACATGAATCTAATTTTTACCAAAAATTGTGACGCTCCAACCATATTCTCTATCAGGTCAGGTTAGCATAAAATATACAATAAATGAACAGTTGAGTTAAAATTACACACTCTGCACAGTATCTGCAGCATATTTTTTTGCTAACTTTCACATTCACACATTTAACGCTTCTGGTTAACTCCCCTGGGAATGTCCGGACATTAGTACCGGGGTGCTTTGTTGTACATTTGGTGGTTTCGGGGGGGATTTTTTTTTCTGCTTGTTCTTGTGAAAAATACTTATAAAACAACTATGCACCACTGGCCCAGCATTAAACACCAAAGAAACATGGACCACAAGACATAAAAGTAGCAGTGGTTTGTAACCAATTCAAAATAGCATGTAATTTTCTTCATCGTTATATTAGTGTGTTACTGACCTATTATATTCAGTTGACTAGTTTACCAGACAACTGTACCTCGCTCCTTTCCGTACCCACATACAAGTTGTCACTCCGCCCCTTCATCTGCTTGTTAGTGGCCAAATAGAAAGTGTATGGGGCAGTAAAACATCCTTTAATGACCACGAGGGCCTGCAGAGAACTCCTGTCCCAGAGTCTGCTTTTAATCAAAGTGTGTGTCTAATTAAGATACAACCGAGTTGCAGAGAAGCACACCAAATATTTGCCCTGAACACGCTGCACCCCACTGTGTCAAGGGGGGTTGTAAATAGCAGCCCAGCTCCTCGAGGAACCTGCTGACTACACACACATCCTCACGAGAGCACAGAGAAGGAAAGGAAACTCTATGCAGTGGTGAAAAAATTAACTTTTCCACAAACCTGACTCCGAATATTTCTAATCATGTTGCACATCCGCCTGATAACGCCGGAGTGGAAGCAATCTTATTGACTCTCATGAGGATCAAAAGGGGAGTGCGAAGCAGGAAATACAGGGAAGTCGGAAGGAGGAGAGAGGAAGAGGAATAAGGCTTTGATGTTGGCCATAAAAGTTCACCCATGTTCCTATGTAGCTGACTTAATGGTACTATCTGCACACAAATGTACATGCAACACACCCATAATGAATTGTGGGAAAACAACAAAAAGGAATTCACAAACCAGTATAGTATACTTCAGTTTACAACGAATTAAAAAAAACTAACCTTTTTGGTCAATAGTCAATGTAATATCAATGACTTTTGTCCTGTTAGATAATTGTTTCTCAATCAATTCCAAATAAAATAAAATTGGAAATTGGAAATAAGGTTGGAGTAGAATATGCTGGGATTCTTTATAAACTTTAAAAAGGCACAGACTCCCATTGCATCTGTCAGTATTCCACCGAAACACTCCTCTCCTCACAAAGTCCCAGTGTTGTATCTTAGGAGCAAATGATAAACGTCCATGTGAGTGAATCACATTCTGAGTCCACTAGGAAACAGCAGCATATGACCAGACTTCCCTTTTGTAACTTACCTCCAACTGTACTGTATGTCTGCCTCACTCACTTATTTTTATCACTTCCTTCTTCCATCACTTCCATTTAGACTGTCCCAAAGGTCCAGACATTTTGGTGGTTCTTTTGTCAGTGGCTGGAGCCATCTTGTTCCTTGGTCTGGCCGCTCTGCTCATCTGGAAACTGCTGGTCACCATCCACGACAGACGAGAGTTTGCCAGATTTGAGGAAGAACGGACTCGTGCCAAGTGGGACACGGTTAGTGGTCGTAGCCCCAGGCAGTATTAGTACTCCCTTCATGACTTGGTGTGTTCGATGTCGTGTTAACTGATACTGGAACCATGAATATGATACACTTCAACAACACTCACGTTGTTTAAGTGTCCGTGCGGTTTGCGTGTGTGTGAGAGCGCGTTTGTGTGTTTTATTATTATTTTTGCCACATGCTGTCAGTCCCAGTAGAACAAAAGGCATCAAACGGAAGGCCTGGATTAACAGTGGCTCAGGCTAATTAGCCTTTTACTGGTAATAGGCCTCTGTGTGGCATCGGGGCCCCGCCCAAATCTCATAGACCTGGGACCACAGTGAATCACTGTAGCTGTAGGAAGCCTATGAAAAACACAGTAAATATTACATTAAGGATTTGAGCTACTGTAAGAGTGATATATAAAGGTATTCAACATTCAAAACACATCTTACTATATGATCTTAGTACATTAAATTAGCTGAGCATTTACAGCAGAAAGAGTTCAAAGACAGGCATGGCTGACTACTGCACCTCAGCCAAGTACACTTTACCAACTCCTCTGCCAAAGTGACCGTAACACAGGACTTTCTGTTTGTCTGACCAACAGGGACACAATCCTCTGTACAAAGGACCCACCTCCACCTTTAAAAACATCACATACAGAGGGAAAGACTGATGCTACTGAACAAAGATGAAGAGGAGAAGATAAAAACAAGGGACTTTTTCCGGGAGGGTGACGAATCATGTGCAGGCCTCTACTGTCACAAGACAATAATGACTAATTATTTGTGATTGTAAATATGTAGAAATGATTCCGAAGATGTTATTTACTTTTCAGGGATTTGCCATAAAATGTCCACTTCTACTACACTGATAAGTAAGATATTGTTTTGTGTGTTTGCGATTGAGAACTGTTGTGTTTGCAGTCCAGAATAAATGTTAAGTGTACTCAGACTCTCACCCCCCCCCCCCCCCCCCCCCCCCCCCGCCATTAGCTTCAACCATGTATATTATTTTTTTTAATGTTTGTCCATTAAAAACTACTGAAATCACATGATTTTGAAAATGTAATATACAGTGTATATCCTTACTCCCTTGTCAGGATTTGAATATATCAAACAGCACAATCTTGTCAGTTTTAACTGGTGTCATTGTGCTTGGAATAACCACCAGTGGAAAACTGCATTTAAGAAGAAAAAAAAACCCACTGGCAGTAAAGTCTATGGTTTAGTGGCTGGAGAGTGGAAAGTTTCCTCGGCCAAATTCTCTATAGGATCAGGTACAACTAAGCCTCAAGTGGAAAATGTATTTGGGGAATGTTATATTTGGTCGTACAATGGAAATCATATCATCACTAAATGGTTGGTTTTGCTTGGATGTACTTGAGCTTTTTGAGTTTTTTCCAGACTTCATTGTCATTTCCTCATTTCCATCCTTGAAAAGTTCACAAACGGTTTATCCAAATATAAAGAATGTAAGTACATGTCTAATAAGACACTATATAAGACATTATAATCTTTATACAGCTGTTATTCTATTTCTTTTTTCACAGTTGATACGGTATATACTGGAAGGGAGTGCAGCCTGAACAGCAGCAAAGCTCTGGTTCCATCTTCTGGACTCAATCTGTAAGTTCTGATAATACGTTTCACTCTCTTTAGTCACTGCACAGGAACATTTTTTGCCTTAAAAGGCTAAAACATCTAGTCTGTTGATTAGGAAAATCATGCCATTTTTTTATTTTTATACTAGATATAGTATTTCGATTATTATAAGAACATAGAATAAAATATTTCTAACTACTATAAACATTTTATTTCCGATGATAACTTTCACTACAACACTGTTGTTAACTCATCCTGGCTGGTTGAAGCTGGTCCTTAAGTATGTGCTTGTTAATTTCAAAATGTCATTATTGTTAAAACTGACATTTAGTGTAAATGTCAGCAAAACATACTGAGGCGCTCTTTTGCTTGTCAGCTTTAATATAGCATAGCCAAAAAGGCTTGTTAAGCTAATAGCATGTCAGTGACCTTATACACAGTTCTGTTATTAGCATCCACATTAAAAATCGACGCTAACAGCTGAAGTGACAGGAAGGAACTTTCTCAGCAATTAGTAGTTTTTAAATAACTATGTAGCCACTCAAACGTGTTAAGCTTTAACTGCCTTACACTGAACTGTCTTTACAGAAACAAAAACAAATATTAGAACAAACCGATAAACACTTGTTTCTTTTTACAACTTAAAATGTTTACTGACTCAAGTCCAGTGTGTCATTCAGTGTTAATGTGACAATGCAGAGGATGAAAAAACAAAAAACCTGTATATACCAGTCTGCATTTATAAATCGGCTACAGATCGTGCAGATTTTTTTGATTCTCAAGCAACATTTTTTGGTTTTTGGAAATACCAGATTTTATAAAACAGGTGGTGCCATCCAGTGTTTATAATGTTACATCGCACTTAAAATCTGTGCTGCATGAGCAAAACAAGAATAATTGGTCAAATCAGTCAGGTATGAAATTGTTATGTTTAGTAAATTAATTGTTTGTATTTCACCTTACAATCGTATTAAAAATGAAGTCGTTTGTCTCACGTTTTTAGGGCTGACCTTCAACAGGAGTTGACAGGTATGTTGTGTGTCGTCTCTAAACACACATCTGTCTTTTACTTTTAGCGGTAGTTAGCAACACTCAAGGTTAAAAAAACAATACTGACTAAAACAACTTTAGATGAAAAGCAAACTGTATTCATCAATTTGCAATTCCTTCTGTTTCCAAAGTTACTTTCACAACAAACTCACAATGTTCCAGTACGGGATACATTTAGACTTTTCCAAACTTGATCAGCAAAACATTTTTAAGGTTTTCAGTTTTAAAGGAAATAAATCCTAATCTGAGCGCAGCGCGGTGATGTGACCTAAATTTGAGATTGAAGATTCACCTTAATTCACCATTATAACGGGAGAAGTGCTTACATTCCATTTGAATGTTCCAGTGAACATCCAGCCCATATTTCATCAGGGATATAAAACTCTTTTTCTTAAGTTTACAAACTCATGTCGACCAGATGATTGCAGCAGTAATGTCTATCTGTTGTAGAACTGTGACGTGACCCAGGCCAGACCCCACTTCAGGTTGGTGAGCATGAACTTCAGTGCTTTGGTCCACTGCTCCTCTGAGTTGAACTGAGTTTTGATGGAGTAGGAGCCTCCGCTGCCGCCTGTGTCCTCGATCTTGCCCTTCTCCACGTCCATCCTAAGACATGAAAAAACATTGGTCATATCCAAAATCCAATGGGGTCTTATGAACACAATGCTGTGAATATTTTTTTTTAATGAGATTTTGGTGTAAAACGTCCAGTTGCATTCCCCTTCTGCTTCAGGTATTTACTTAAGATGATAAATAGTGGATTGTTTTGTCAACATGATGCAGTTTTCTGACCTGTAAGGGAGACAGAAGCCAGTGTCTCCTTTTTCTACCTCCTCTTTGAACTGCTGGACACAGTCCAGGAAGGCCACCATGGCATGGTCAAACTTATTGTCCCAGAAGAACCTTAAGCCGCCAGAGCAGTAGAGAGGAAGTTCCTGAGCACACACAAAAAAAAACACAATTTAAAATTACAGATCAGAAAAATCAGTGAGAGTTTGAATACTGAGTACTGCAGTAGTGTTCTCCGTGTATTACCTTGGACTTGTCTGACAACGATTCTAGGTACGAGTGGTTTCCATAGGGAACAAGGCGATACCTGAGGAGATGAGAAAGAAAGGCTAAACAAGGCCGATCATTGATTCAGTCATGACTAGTCATCGGTCAAATACGTCTGGTTGCACCTTTGGAAACGCAGCCCCATTTTACTGGCGAGGGCATGGAGCAGCAGCACAGTCTGTCCCCATGCTGCGTTAATCTCATTCCACTCCACAGGAACACTGGGAAGTCGACCCAGACGGAAGTTATTGATGGTGCCAAACTGACCACTGTGCCTGTGACAGGAAATCAACATTTCAGAGTTACACTTCAGAGATCTTGGTTAAAGTTAAAGGTGTGAAATAAGGTTGTCTTTGCAATTAAACCCCCGCCCCACAAAAAAAAAAAAAAAAAAAACCCCATCAAGACCAGATTTGCTTATTTCTTGCATTGGTGTCTACTGTATTTTTTGGTTTTTAACCACACTCTTATATGAACTATATACCAAATAAGAATCAACTTAATTTCTCTAATTTATTTGTGTATGTTTTCTATATTTATTGTGTTTTTTATATATATATATATACAGTACATATATATATATATATATATATAATGCTGATTTACCAGATATGAAATGTGGCATTGAAGACGTTGGTCTTTTTCAGACGGTCAAGCTGAATCTGGCAGTAACGCATCTGGTTGTCGACGCTCTTCAGCTCATCATCCAGCTCCAGCTGCTGTCGCTTAAATTCACTGTATTCCTTCTGATACCTTTGGGACGAGACGGAGAAATATTCAAAGAAATATTCAAAGTCTGCAAAATAAGTCCGACTTCATCCCTCAACACGACTGATGTGATCACTCACTGTAGCTCCTCTGTGTCCAGCTGCTGAGAGTGGATCCTGCTCTGAGCCAGATCCTGGGCCATGGCAGCCCTCTGTTCCTCCACAGCCTCCAGTTCCTCTACCAGAGCCCCCTCTTCGTCCTTCAGCTGCTGCAGCTCTGCCATCAGGGTCTCTTCTTCCTCCACCTGCAGGTGGCACAGCAGCTCCAGACACTGCCTAAGAATACAGTCAAACAAAATAATCAATGCTGAAATCACAAATTGCAGTTTCTACCAGAGGGAACTCCATTGTTTATTGTATATTCCAAAGCATTTTCGACTAAACCGAAATCCATCCAATTTAGCGCAAAAGTTTAACTTACTTGTAATTCTGGCATTCATTCTCTGTGATATTGAGCTGTGTGTCCAGATGATCCAGTAAAGTGTCGGTACATTCTTCACACAAGGGATGGTCCACATCAGTCTGGCCCGACATGATGTCAAACAGATCGCTCGTCACCTGAAATAATATGATCAATAACAATTCACTATTCTTCTGATCTTCACAACAAACACAGCTGAGAACTGTGAAAGCGGACACACCTTTAACCTGCGACTTAGATTTTCCATCGTGCCTCCATCTGATGCTTCTCCAATCAAGGTGAAACTGTTGGCACTCTCTGTGGACATCATGCTGCAAAGCAAAAATATCAACAAGATGACTGACAGGATCACACATCTGTCATATGTAAGAAAGACATGAGTGCTTACCGCGCAGGAGGGATGTATTTCCTTGACACTCCATCTGGTTTGTTTTCTTCAAAGGTCTCCTTGGGTGAAAAGCTAAATTAGACTGAGTCATACAGCTGAGCACAGTGATAATGGTTGTCTAAGGAAACAATACTATGTTTGCCAGGTCTCTCATAAATCGTTGATCGTTTCTACATAGATACTGCAGTCAACACTTTTTTGTTTCATTTACCTCTTGTGCCGTGTCCCCCTCACTGCTGTCAGTCTGTTTGCTGGGAGTGACGGTGACCACCGGAGCTGGAGAAATGAAAGGAAATGTCAAATCTGAGGCCATGAATATCATCACTACAAAAGTGCAAAGTAATGTGAATATCATCACTACAAAAGTGCAAAGAAGCAGAAGCAGTAATATAATACAAACGAAGCTACATCACGTACCAATCAGCTCCTGGATAGTAACTCGGTCGAGCACATTAAACGATGTGTCCAGTTTGAGGGGCTGGCAGCAACGCTGACAAACAAAACTGACCTGCATGGTTGTGCTCGACGACTTTGAGCCTTCCATTGCCATCTAAGGGAAAGCAAATATGAACCTAATGAATACTGTTATGCAAAACCTGGATATTTAACGTGTACTACTACTTGGACAGCAAATTCAGAAGCAAAGGCTATGCTAACGGCTAGCTAGCATCGCAATCAGTTTGCGCGTATCACGTATTCCGAAAGATAAGACATACTCACTGTCATGTATAAAGAGCACAAGTGTACTGCACTGTTACAGTGATGGTTAAAAACTGAAAATAACAAATTGGCGCTGATTTAGTTTGGCGTGACTGTTCATTTTTGCATGCCTCTCCTCTTTCTTATTGTTGTTTACGTATGACGTTGAAAGGTATCACGTGGAAAGGCCAATTGTCAGTGGACGTCATGTGAGGCATTCAGGAGCTACTGAAATCCAGGTAAATACGACACACTGAAACGCAAAGCTACATGAAAGCCGTTCACTTTTTAGTTTAAGTTCCTAAGTTCAACCTAACTTTTATTATTATTATTACTAAATGCCACTACCACTGCACCAAAACAAACAAACAAAAATAAAAACGATTATTGAAGAAGATGAAAGATTGCATTTTCAACGTGACTTGAACTGTTTCCCTCTGCGCACATTAGATGGCAGTGTAACATTTATGACAGATACCCTCAATATGTAAAGCCGAAGAAGATTATAGTTGCGGGAAAACTAAAGCTGGTGTGTTTTTCCGGTGACGTTTTAAATCTCACAAAAACAAGGTAAATATTTCGATTCTTCTGTTTTATTTATCCATTCTTACGTTTCACAGTAGAATACAGTTTGTTTTTACGTGTTCGTGTCATTTTATGTGTAGCACTGCATAGTTGTCCGTCCATCGTTGACTCGTGTATTCCATCCATACAAATCGCCATGTCCATTATTAAATCACGTAAAGAGCTAGCAAGCTTAAATCTTGACAAATCAGCATTGGAAGCGATTAAATACTTCAATGCCAATGTGCACATTCATTCTTCGGTAGTGACAACTGAAGTTAAGAAGTTAAGAACTTTTTCAATGCGCTGTTGTAAGAATGTGTATGTAAAAACTGTGTTTGTATGTTTGTCGTCAGTCACCTCAAATATGTTTTGTTTTATATTCAAGCTGTAAATTATAAACCTAATATTGTCCTTTGGAAATGTGTTTACTGTTGCCAGAACTTCCTTTACCATTACCTGTAGCTATAACTGACTGTCATTTTCTTTATGTGGCGAAATAAATTAAAACCAAATTGAATTAATTGTCCCAAAAGATATCGAAGACATTGTCTGTGCAAGAATAGTCTGTCATTTTTCCTTCTTTCTTAAAATGTGTTGTCTGTGCCTGTGAATGTTTGTCTCCAGATCCTAATAAGACTCAACATGAAAGGTCCGAAGGCTGCAGATGTCAAAAAGGGGATAGCAGCGTTGTGGGAGACAATGCAGTGTCCCATATGGTGAGTCCAGGAATACTCATAACACCAAAATATAGTTATATTGCTAAGGTCATAATCTGAATAGATTCTGTTTGTCTTTTGTATGTAGTTTGGATTTATTCACAGAACCAGTGTCTACCAAGTGTGACCATCAGTTTTGCAAGTAAAGAATATCTGTCTGTTTTGGATGTATATACATCTGCATATCTCTATACGGCTCTCTTTCTCTTTATATGAATATATTAAATTGCACATATATTGTTGTTTCTGTTTTCAGATTTTGTATCATCAAACTTTTGGATAACTCAAAAGAAAACAAGAGCAACTGTCCAGTTTGTAAAAACAAGATAACTAAAAGGTCGGACAAAACTTCCGAAAGCTGATGAAATGCATCATTTTAAAATCATATATACAATACAAAATGTATAACATAAAAACAAATATAATCTTGTCCCTAAATTTGCAGGAGTTTGCGAGAAAGCTCTGGTTTTCAGCAACTGGTAGCTGGACTGCAGGACATGATCCAGGGATATGAACATGACACAGGGACAAACTGTGAGATCAAATCACTTACTCTTTTAATTAGCTTCAATGATCTGCTTTGTCATAACCAAAAAAATCTTTTACATTTTCAGACTTCACTGGAACTTATATGCCAAAAAAACAATCAAGGTAAAAAAACACCATTAACAATATTCCCTGTTTACAATATCATTAGTGTAATTTGTATTTTCTACGCAGTCTCTCAGACGCCGAGGCTGCTTCACATCCCCCTAATGAGGTATCTAGAGATACACCTGTCTCTGAACGTGCAGAATGTGATGATCTCCCTATGTCCACCTTGTCAACTCTAGCTGGTAAAATTTCAGTCTCAGTTTTTATGTCTTTTTTATTTTTTTAACAGTGTAAAATAAGAACTAAATTTATTACTTTAGAATAATCAGTTTCTGTGAAATTATTAGTTATTACTATTTGACTGATCCCTCAATTTGGGTTTTTATTTATTTATAACAGTAAACTGAATATTTCAAATCTGAGGACAAAACGCAAACAGTTGATTTTTAATACTATTGACTTTCTAGTTTTCTTCCATTCATAAATAGCATGGTCTGAATGAATATCATCATCATTAGCAGGTGTAGCCCTAAACTGCAGGTGTTGTAATTTCTTAGTTGTTAAGAAAATTATTTAACAGATAATTGTAAATAATCAGAATACATTTCTGTGATATGGAATGAGAAACACTGATTGTAGTCTGCAATTGCTCTTATTGTGTCATTTTGAGAAAGAGAAACACTGATTGTAGTCTGCAATTGTTCTTATTGTCACATTTTCTGTCTAATATTTCAGCTCAGAATGGATTTGCAAGGCTCATGGACTTTGAAGACTCAAGTCCTCTGACAGCAGGAAACGAAGGTCTGGACAGTGGTCTCGGTGAGGCCCCACCTACCTTTGAGAAGAAATTGCACAGCTCACCAGATAATTTGGAGCAAATGGATCCTGACATGATCGATGCAATGGAGGAGGCGACAACCAAAACTAAAGGTAAAAGTAGGTCAGGAAAATCAAGGAAGGCATCTCTATTAGAAGTTCCGAAAGAGACTGAAAATCAAACCGTAAGAAAGTCCTCAAGAAAAAAGAGGAAAAAGGACTTGGGATCTGACATGGTTAATCAGGAGAAACGGAAGAAAAGTCTACAGAAAGTTGCAGAGTGGCTTCTGAAAGTTCCTCCTGAAGGAAGTTCGGTGTCGGAGGAGGACAACAAGAAGGATGACTCCGACAGCTCTTCTTCTACTTCAACAATAGATGTGCACCTGCAGATTAGTGACGTGAAGAGAGAGGATCGTTCTAAGGCCCTTGAAGAGCGTGTCTTTGGAGCTGTCTACAAGAGAAGGAAGGAAAGAAGGAGACTTGTCTGTCCCTTGCCTCCTGCTGGTGATGAAGCATTAACTTCAGTCGAACAGAAAACAGGATCTGAAGATGAAGATCAAGGTGACTCAGATGCAATGCAGTCAGTAACAGAAGGGAGAAATGACTCTAGTAGTGACATTTTTGAAGAAGCAGAACAGATGGAAGAAGTTGAGGAAAATGACATCAACTTGTGCGGGGAAAAGTTACAGGACTTGGCAGAAATTGACGAAAATAAAAGCATAGATGAGGATATTGTCGCTGTGTCTGGGTTTAAACAACAGCAAGCAAAACAAGTTCCAAAGGTTAACATGAATAACACCCTGCAGCATGTTGACAGTGATTTACAGGAACAAGCTGAAACAGAGTTAGAGACATCTGAGCTCAAGAAAACGGACAGAAAAAAAGGTAAAAACACTCAGTCGAAAGTTTCCAATCCTCTGGTTTTGGTTGGAGTGCCGAATGCAGAATCCAATTCAAAATTGAGCTTGAGGTCAGAACAAGTTCAGGTACAAATTGAAAACTATCCCAGTAGTGATGACCAAGAAACCCTCATTAGGAGCACAAGGAGAAGCAGAAGACTTCAGCTATTCGCAACAGAAGTTTCAAAAGTTCAAAGAAAAGCAAAGTTGAAAATTAATTCCGCTGAAAAACACCACAGTGTTGAGAATCCGCCGGAGGAAGGTAAAGGTAAAACCACCAATAAACTGGATTCGCCTGACAAGATGAATATAAAAAATATGTCCAAAAGAAATGGATGTGTTTATGATCAAGACTTAGGAGGAATTGAACTCATGGACGCTAATCAGCTAAGTTCTCACCCAGAACAGGAGCCTGTTGCAGAAGTTCCGGTGAACACCGAAGCCCCTTTAGAAACCAGGGCTGCCCGTGATGTTGCTGTGGTCCCAACTTCTGCAAGTCCAGCTGATGTAACTGTGGTGCAGCCAACATTCGAAACCAACAAAGCAAGCAGTGACTTATCAGAGGTTATTGAGTCGGGGAAATTGGTTTGTGAGACTGAATGTGCGCTGACTGAAAACGGGGAGAAGAACGACAGTGAGGTGGACACGGAGCAACTGCTTCAGAGTTTCAAAGCCACAAAAAGGAAATCGTTTCATCTCGGTTGCCCAGACATAAAAAGAAATCGCCCCTCGGATCAACTAATTGTGCAAGATTCTACATCTGCTGAAGAAAAAGAAGAAGAACCTTCAAACAAGCACATTTCAAAAACATGTGAAATTCCAAACAAGGACACTTTACAAGATGATGAAAACTCATTGTCTGATGATGTGATTCCTCCGTCTAACTCATCTATCCTGGGAAGAAAAACTACAGAGATGCCAGTTCAAGGAGTGGCTGAAGCAGTGATGCCTGTCCCTTGTTGTTGGAGCCAGGGCAGTGCAGCTGAAGTTGTCTCCAGAAGCATTCCCAGCAGTGCTCTCACTCCTAATAAAGTGTCAAAACTTCACAAGGAAAGTCCTCATCTATCCGTTCTGCCGCAAATAGTGGATTCTCGACTCTGCTACGTAGACGTTAACCAGACCGAGCCACACGAGGTGTTAGAGAGCTCTCACATTCCTAACATTCGGTGTGATTCTCCACTGAGGGATACTGGAAAGTCAGAGGAATCACATGACTCTGCATCTGGTGAGAAAGATCAAGGTAACACGACTGAACACATCTCAGCTGCAGACTCTCTAACCCCCGATGGTCTGGTGGCAACGGAAACCAAGCCGAGCAACTGTGACGAGGAGTTGCAGAGTTCTAGTTCATCCATAAACAGCAACCCGAGGCGGAAGACGAAGAAGAGGAGGATCCAATTGCTGGAGTCTTCGTCAGAGTCTGATTGCAGTGGATCCAAAGAAGAGCTGCCGAGTTTTTCTCAGTTTCTGGGAAAGGCTTCTGTTCCAGTTGCTGCGGCCCAGGAGCAGCGTGACACCAGTGAAGGTGCTACAAGTGAGTATGTGTGTGTCACTCCTGAGGCAGCAGAAGAGTTAAGACCTCCACCTTCTTGCCCGAGTCCAGACTATGTCGACGACAGTCAAGCTTCTGTGGATCTGTTTGGCACGCCAGAGCAATGTGAGTAAAAATGTTGCCTTTGAAACAAAGTTGTACAACTCTTGTGCCGTTGTAAAAGTAAACATTGCACAACAACGTGTGCACAGTAAATCTTTACTAACTAAGTTACTTACAAAGAACTTCAAATATTTTTTTATTGTTATATCACGGTGTAAAAGAACATTGTGGTTTGAATATCTGCTGAGTAATGCTTACTCAGTTGTTTCACACCGAACAGGTTTATTTATTTCGCTGGAAAAACAAATTTCCCAATGCATTCAGACGCAAAGAAATTTGATTGTATCCTTTCCTCAGGTGACGTTCCAGTAAATCCCAACAGCGTTTCCATGGAGTCATCAGAATATTCAAGCAACGTTCTTGTGACCCAGGTAGATTAACTCTTTGTTACTTTCTTTCAAATTGTACGGCACGCAAGAAGGTTCCTAAAATTGGATCAAAAAAGAAAAGGAACTGAATGTTGGAATAAGAAGACTGAAACTTTTAGTATTCAGTTTCAGATATTTTTGTTGTGAAGCCACAAATAAACCAGTGGTACTCAGATCATCTCCAAATCCACAAAGAACATGTAAGAACAGTGTCCTACATTTATTACTTAATATAAGGTATACAAAAAAAGCCCTGAGCAAGTGTTTAAGTCATTAATATTATTTAGTGGAACGTTATCGTTTCTTTGTTCACTTTCCATGTCCTGTGCTTCCTCACAATGCACTGGTACATTGCGTCCCATAGAGGGCAGCCACTACGTTTGTTAACTTGGTACTGTCAGCTCCAGGATGAAGGACTACCTTGCTCAGTAAAATATGTCTCTCTCAGCAGCTTTCCAAATTGCATTTCATTTACATCGGAGGAAACACTGCCTCAGAGATGATTCTTGTTTTCTACCTCCATCCATCTTCTGGCTCTCTCACTTTAATCCACTGACTGTATTTGTCTCCAAGTTAAAGTTTCTCACCCGCCGGTTAAGAAGGCGCTTGGCATTTAATGACATTTGTAATCCATGCACTTGTACTTTACACTCGAGTAAAAGTCTGCTTTTCCAAACTAACCCCAAACGGAGGAAAAACGGCTTACACTTGTGTCTCTCTCTCTCTCTCTCTTGTTATCAAAATCCCCTCTAACATCTCTGACATTATGTAATCCCCTCTTTGTCTGGTGTTGTCCTCATTAACCACTGTGTGGATGAATAAGCAGCAGAGATTATTGGGCAGCATGTGGGTTCACACTCACTGGCTGACAATGGTCTTAAGTGTCAGAGCAGGACACCAGCAGTGCATTCAGGACAGTAACCTTTCATTATGTCTTATAACTGATACTCTGCAGCAAGTCCTTCCTGCTTTCTGGTTCCTGTTCCTTAGTAATCCAAGTGCATGACTCACCTTTTATAATGAGCTGTTGAGCTTTACCAGTGGCGTACCATGAAGGCCAGCAAGCCCCTCTCTGCTGGCCTAAACAGTATCAATGACTTCAATATATTTATCATGAATATTTATATGCATATATTTATATTTCAGCCTCATGTGTTGCCAGGTTGAAGTAAATCTGCCCTAAGACTTTCGGAATCAGCAGTGCGAGCGCTGGGAGCCTAAAATAAATAGCTATGAGATTGTTTCTTTAACAAATCACATTTTGAGTTGGCATCAAACTGGCATATCAGAAAACGCACGTCTTAAGTGTAGCAAACTGCACCAGGTGACTTGCAGTGGCTTGTTAGAACTAGAATATTTTATTTTTATGATGTATTGTATATAACAACACGTTATACTACATTTCTGCATAATATGAATGGTTTCTGTAGCCATAATGACGTTATTAAAATGTGAATTTGTTCAGGCGGGATGCTACTGAAGGTCAAGGTGAGAAATACACAGTACCACGCTGGGCTTTACTTTTACCTCCTTGTCGTTGAAGCAAAAGATACAAATGCAGAACGAGCTGGTGAGGCTGGAGAAGTTGATGGCGCTGGTGTCAGAGGTTCTCCAGGAGAAAGAGAGCAGCCCTGCCAAAGAAACAAATCAAAGCTACCCAGCCACAGGTACAGTAGGCACATAACAAATGTAGGACATGTTTTAGAGAAATGAAAAGAACATTGAATGATATTTCTTACTGCAAGTGCCAAAATGTTGTGCAGTGTGGTTCAAGCCTCTAAAATGTGAAATATTGCTTTTTTTTATGTTATATTCATTTGCTATTCTGAACTGCTGATTGGAAAAAATAAAATACAGCTTTCAGGGAGAAAATCCATAATAATGTGAATATAAACCGTCATTGGTTGTCATGTATTTGCGACTAGAAAACATTCTGACCTTCCCCTAGTGTATATATTTTTTTAACTTTTCGAGTTTCATTACCTGAATTGATGAAACATTCATTTGGCTAATGGTCTGTGTTTTTTTTTTTTTTTTTTTCCAGGGCCCTGTTGCAAGGACACAAGCCACGATTTAAAAAAGTAAGTAATGAATTGAAGGTGACAAGAGACAAAATGCATCATGTCCTGCTATAAATTGTGTTGATTTTACGTTTAGTCCTCATGTCACATTTTCCACCCGTTGAAAATGAAGTATTACATACGGCAGCCTGAAGTTATCACTGAAATCAACAGTTTGTCCACGTTGGCAAAAATACGGTATTCCAACATAGTGGCTTCTTTGGGAACAACTGATGTGAGGACATGTTCAGTGTTTGAATATGTGTCTCAGATGTATCAGAATACAGTTTGTCCACGTTGGCAAAAATACGTACATAGTGGCTTCTTTGGGAACAACTGTGAGAAAAATGAAAAATGAGAAAAACAAATGTGAGGATATGTTCAGTGTTTGAATTTGTGTCTCAGATGTATCAGAACTATTTAAGTCTGTTCGTAGTGTACAATAAATAGATCGATGAAAGTTATTGATCCGAGGCTAGGAAATTACAGTAAAAATATTAAGGACAGAAAATATCCAAATACATTCTCAATAAAGACATGTTATCCTTACTGCAGCATATTAATTCCTAATGATCTACCAGCACTCCCTTTTTGATCTACTGGTAAATTGCGATCTACATTTTGAGCACCACTGGTCTACAGTATTTCTCAAGTTATACAACAAATTAATTCTGCTCCACATTAAGCCTTATTTTTTAGAGCTCTTGTTAGAGAACAGAACAAGTCCTCCTATAGGATGACTCTTTGTTTGCAGGAAGTTATTCACGCGGCCTGTGAGATCACACCTGAGAGTCTCAGTTAATTGGAAATCCAGAGAGGATGGTTCAACTAGATAACAGTTTGGTATTCCACTCATTGATTACTCCACAGATTAAACAAATATCTTAATTAGTGAGATAAAATATTCAGGACAGTGTTATTCTGTCACAATGGCTCGCAGCCATGCTTTCTGCCTCCCTCTGTGGCCAATGTCTGATGCTAGTGTTTATCCTTTTAAACAAAACAGTATACCACGGGCAGAAAAAGCTAAATGTATTCAGCTGTTTGTGGACTTCCATATAATGAACAACAATTAACATTGAGCCTATTGTAGTATAATTATTAATCATTAAATGCTCATCAACATCAACTGCTTTTTTGCCTTGTGACCATATTTTGACATGACAAATTTCTTGCAACCCGAGAGTGTTTTTTTTTTGTCCTCCTAGTCATTACTAGACATTTCAGTCGACCCCAAGGTTGAAAAACACTGGTTATAGTGTGTCACGTGACCACTCAGGTTCTTCATTGCGAGGAGAAGTCCTTGAAATCAAAGCTAACTTTGAAAACATTAATTAATAAATATATGCCCGGTGCAATGAATTTCTCTCCTCAGAGGGTTGTGTACATTGTTAATTCATTTCAAATGGAGCTCTCCTTCAGCACAGCCGTATTAAGGAGGAAAATAAGTGAAGCAAGTGGCATGTAATTGCTCTCTTTCAGTCTGTAACTGATGGTGAAACTGTGTCTGTGTGCACGTGCGCGTGCGCACATTTTGCTAGTTGTGTTTTCGGAGCGTGATGCATCTTAAGAGGACAGGCAGATAATCTCGCTAATGAACCCAGAATCTGCTTATGCTGTGGAGAATAAAAAAGTCATTACTGACTGCATCGTATGTGTCATTTAAAGCACTTAGAGGGAAACTTGTGTTGCCACAGTAATTTATCTCCCACGCTTGACTGCTTCGCTACCCCGATCCTCCCTCCCTCCCTCCTCGTAGGACTCTAAATGCTGCACTAGTTGAAAGAGAACTGAAGGCTTGAGAGAAAGATTGAAAAAATAATCTTGAAGACTGTCCTGTCTGGGTTTTTTTTTTGTTAAACATTAAAAACATATTCCAACCAATGAAGTCAGTCACCTGACCTTTCTGAACTGATCATTTGTTTCCCTTTAACAGGAGACATTAAGTGATCATGTCTATGATTTAGTCCTGGGAGAGCAGAGGATAAACTGACTTTCATCCATGGCTCATTAATCTTTGGTAAGGGGCTGCTGATAATTCACCTGAAAAGACACAAGTCTAATGATAGGAAATATTCGCCAGGAAGTAAGGAGTTTTCTGTGACACCTTTAAACCTTTGCATTTCACCTTCTAATGGCTGATGTCTTCTGCTGCAGGCTGAAAATGAGAAAACTTGTTGTTCTCACTCACTTTGTCCAAACCAAGTTCTTCCTGTGGCTTCCTTTATCACTAGGCCAAAGAAACATCTGTACTTGCAGTTGCATTAGTCAGTAGACAAAAAGACTAGCAAGCACTGGTTTTAAATAGTAGTTTATTGTTTTGGTAAATATTATCAAAATTATAATCAAACTTTTTAAAATAATGTTATTTACAGGACAGACGTTTCAGATGCCGATCCTTTGGCGAGCCCAAAAGACTCTGATGACAGAGATGTCCACCAGCCCAGTGGGTCAAAGCAAGACAACATTTCAGACATGGGTAAGTAGGGCTGCTGGTGTCGTTTTGAATGTATTTTGTGGTTTTGTAGTAAAAACTGAATATCGTGAATATTCAATAATTTAGTCACTTTGTAAAATATCAACAAATATCAGAAAATATCAACAGTTATCATTTGTTTTGTTTTATTTGAGTTTCCTGGAGATTTGTTGACTTTATATTAGTTTTTGCAAAACCTTTTTTTATTTCCTTACTTTAAACTTTGTAAACATATACAGCATAAGCTGTTTTCTTGAACAAAATGGGATGGGTGGGGTGTTAGTGATAGGTGTTTCTACACATTAAAATTTTACAACGACAATTAAAAAGAACCATCCTCCGTCCTTCTAAAGTGTACCATAAGTTTGGGCTTCTGCTTGTATATTCTTATTGTGAGCATTTACTTTCTGGTCTACGTCAGCTGTGTTGGACCATCAGTCCACCTTAGGTTCAGGTTGCTCTTCTCCAACTTTAAGACGTTTACTGCTCTTAGATTTTTATTTCATTTTATTTGAGTCTCCAGCCCTAAAGATGTTTGTCCAGAAAAATACGTGCCCTGCTGACAAATATAGTTGGAGATTTTCTTTCTTTCTTTCTTTTTTTTTTTCTTTTTTTTTTACTGTGTTGGTACTGTTTTGCACACAGGGCTGAGCACATCGACCACTGACCCCTCAAAGGCAAAGACATTTGTTAGTTCAACAACCAAAACACCAAAGAGCTGTGCTCCACCGTCTGATGCACGAGAGGACAAAGAGAATGACACACCCCCTAAGGACAGGACAAAACCCAAACTGGTGCTGGTCCTGTCTGGACTAGGACCCATTGAACAGGTACAGTACTAGTTTAATGGCTGAGGAGTAATGGTTGAGGAACCATGGACTAAAAAGACTTTTTTTGTCGTATATTTTGCCAGATTACGGTGAAAAAGTTTGCCAAGTCTGTCGGAGGTCGCGTGGTTCCTCAGGTGACACCAGAGGTGACTCATGTCATAATGCACACAGGTAAATATGTCCATAGACACGGTTTAATTTTACAATGAGGGGCCTTGACTTACGGCGGATAGACACCGAAAGAGGCTTGGGAGCCATAATAGAGGGCAAAAAGTTCCCAAAAAAACAACACAAACGAAAGAAAGCCAATGTTGCAGCTTGAAAACAACCTCACATTTGTTTTATTATTGATTGTTCATTGGTAATAAATCGTGCGTGTACACAGTGCAGCTTCATTTCTGTGAAATGTAGTATCTAACAAAGGCAAAATTAGTTATTTGTCCTTTGTAGGAGAATATATTTGTTCGCCAAATTCTAAGGCAACTGTTAATGGGAAGATAAGTTGTTAAAAAATAAAATGTTCCCATCGTACTGGTTTGTTTTATTTGTTAGTTTAGAATGATAAATAAAAAATCTGAGCTTTTCATGCATGAGAAACTGAGGCGTCTCCGAAAGATGTCCCCTGCTTCGCAGCAGCAGCAGCGCTCTGTGGTGTTAACATAAACATTCTGTACCTTTTGCAAATCAATTTATTTGACCTTTTAAAAATTCTTCCAGGCAATAACACAATGAAACCTCCTTTTAAACTGCACAGGTTAATTCCTCAGTAATAACCCTTGCCTTTCCTCTGTACATGTAAAGTGTTTTTGAAAGCACTCCTCGCAGACGAGCTCAGTGTTTCTCTTACCCACACACACTCTTCCATTCACGCACTTGTAGCTAATTATCCCCCGTGATTGATTCTCTTTTTTTTTTATTTCAAAGCATACTCTCTCCAAAGCAGTATGTTTACCACTGTATTTAATGAGAGCTTGTTTTCCTCATATGCCCAGAAAAAGAGTGAGAGTTTTAGTTTGCAGGTCAAAAAGGAGCAAGATGACTTAGCTTTGAAGATTTGCTGGATTTTTCTTTTAAGTTAGTCAAACATTTTTCTTTTCAAACTATCAAACAAAGTATTTGCCGTACCATTTTTCTTTAAAGGAAAAATGAATCTTTGTTTTCTTTTAGCATTTGTAACAGTATACAATCGTTTTACATCTTTTGGTCAAATAAAAACATAAATTGACATTTCGCATGTAATATTATACGCTTCATCTTTGTCTTGTACAACGTAATCATTTTCAAAATACAGTTGAGGAGCTGGAGTCAATCCCAGGAGTCAACTGGCGGGGCAGGGCTCTACCCTGGACAGTTAACCAGTCCATCACAGGGCCACATGTAAAGACAAACAACTGATGTTGTAGCCAGTTAACCTACAGTAATGTTGCATTCAGTTAGATGTTAGAATAACTGGAGTACTGGGATGAAACCAATGTACACGTGGGACAACATCTCCAGTTGTGGGTCAGGATCTGAGGTTTTGGGAAATATTTTAAGATGTTATATTATAGGATGATGTACTAGATGACAAATACAAACCAATTGTATTAATTATTTAATATGTATATAATAATATAAGACACAACATGCAGTTTAATCACACACAGTGCTGATGCATCTTTTGTCAACTTGATTTTACTTTTGAATATAATTAAGTTGGCACAAAAAATAATAAATATTTGTATTTCTCACACTGTATTTTCCCTAATGTTGGCAATAGCATTGATGCAAGTGTGTAACAGTGTCTACTGATATGTGTGCGTGCATCCTTGTGAAGGATGGCCTACAGTTCCTGTTTATATTTTCATGCCTGCGTGCCTGATCTTTTGTCTCTGACAGATGAACATCTGGTCTGCCAGCGAACGCTGAAATACTTCCTCGGCATCGCAGGCAGAAAGTGGGTCTTGAGCTTCAACTGTAAGTCCTGGTTCACTTCACTCCGAGGCCACGTCAGTGACGGGATAAGAACTTTTAGTTTGGATACGAGATGATACCGGTGCTGCTGGTAAAACGGTATACAGTAAAATGTCAGTTTGTTAAGGTCTCGTTCTTCACTCCTCTCCGCAGGGGTGTCCGAATGCGTGAAACAAAAAAAGCTCCTGGATGAGGTACGTCGTGTGAACGTGATCTTTGAATTTGCACGCCGCTGACTTTTTGGTTACATCTCTGTTGAACTCTATGTTAAATTAATGCCTCATGGTGATTCTCTCCACAAGCTTAGCTCTGACATCACATAAATTATTAGTCACCCAATAGCTTTGGCAGTCACTGCATCTGAACCTTCACTGAGGAGTTTGATTCTTGACCCGGGGGCAGTACATTTTAAATGGTATCCCCAAAACTTGTAAGATGAACATAAGGCTGAATATAAAAAACTATGAAGTTGTTGTTCCGACTTGTGTATTTTATATTCGGTACAAAGGCTCTAATGTCTTCTGTTTTTTCTTTAACAGCGTCTGTTTGAAGTGAAAGGTGATATGGTGAATGGACCAAACCACCAGGGTCCTACAAGAGCACGTACAACTGAGGACAGTAATGTGAGTCGGGTCACCCCCACACGGGACTCCTGCACCTAGATACACACAGTGTTCACTTCTCATAAAAGTCGTTTTTCGTCAAAAGTTTAAGTAAGCACTTTCACAGAGCAGAAACAGTTCACACAAACAGCCTGTTGTGGTAATTGCTTCGTCAATCTGTACTTTTATACATGAAAAGAAAAAAAAACTGAAAGCAATTACCTTGATAGATTATTATTTCCAGGCTATAGTGTTTTACAGCCTCTCCTCCCCTTGTATCTGAGAATCTGTGCAGTACTCTCCAAAGGTTTAGTATTTGCACAATTTCCTTTTTTTTTTGCATGTATGTCTATATGTTGTTGATGTTTACAGTATATTCACATAAAAGTAAATGAGATTTTTCTTAGTGACTAATAATACTGATAAACACTGTTTTTTTGATATGCAGATTATCACTGTGGAAACCCCTAAAGGAAAAAAAAAGAATCACTTTTAGGAAATGTGGTTCTGGTGTGATGATATTTTTGTGCACTTCACGCAGATAAGACATTGCAAATAGAGATATGAAATTTAGAATACCTGAGGGGAAAAATATGGATTATCTCAATCTAAATGATAAAAAAATAATTCTGGGTCAAATATGAGACAAACATTTATTTTTAACCTTGCATGTGCAACCGCTAGACACAAATATAGCTATACCTGAAAATATTGAAGATCCTGATGTCACCTGAGTACTTTGCTTTTTTTCTTTTCTTCCTCACCATATAAAAGAAGTCTCTTCATTCTGTTGGTGTCCTGAGGCCTAACACTCTTAGAAAACACTGCTTCCACTTAGATTCTTTGTAAGTCAGCATGTACAAAAAGGAAGCACTTGACCCTCCGTCACCTCTCTCCTCACGCCTTTACACTCAGACCATGTTGTTGAAAGCTGAAGGTAATTTCTTTTTTTTTTACCCTGGTGTAAGGCCAGCAGTCTGGTGTTGTCACTGATGGGGAAAATTAAAAAAAATGGCGACAACTCACGTCAGCCGCGCCTGCTACCTTAGAAGAACCTGTGCTAATTGAAATAGTGAGCGATAGCGAGTGCGCTTCATCACTGCATTAACACTCTGATGGTGCCAGACTGACCGTACTGTTCACATTCTCCTTAGGCAACCTGACTAACAGATGAAATGGACATGGAGAGTGTCAGTTGAATGCTGATGATTAGGGAATCGGACGGGCATTCAGTGTGTGTTTATCTCAGATACACACACACACACACACACTCACACCTCCTGTCCTGAAGGACATTGATGGTTGTCTAAATTAAAAATCTGTAACAGATACACTTTTTCATCTCACTGAGCACCTCTGGCTAATGACGGCTTCAGACAGACAGGGCTGCGAGAAATTTGTATTTCGCTCTCCAGCAGCCCAGACATTCATCATCCAAACACCACCATCTGGTACTACTCCATATGAGACGGTGATGAAAGTGGTGCAGTTTCCTTTATTTATTTATTTTTTTGCAGTCACCATGACTGAAGAAAACAATTTAACTTTCCCTTCTCGGGCTTATTGATCCCGCGTGCGGTAAAACAATGTTTCCTGAAGTCAGGTCATTTATAGTGAAAGCAAAATACTCTGTATGACTTATACTGCAGTGATCATCAACTGGCAGCCTCCAGCCCATAGAACCATCCATTCTGACTTGCGACTGGATTTCAAAATCATTATGTTACAACAACATCGAGGTGTAATATTAGACAAAAAATTAGATTTCAAAATCATTATGTTACAACAACATTGAGGTGTAATATTAGACAAAAAAATTGATTTTTTTTCCCTTAGTTTTACTCGAGTGTGAGGCCCTCTGACAAATATAGTTCTTGAGCCCTGGTATACGGCGTTACTCTGTTGAGTTCCATAGAGTGCAGTATTCTTGTAGATCTCCTTATTTTCCAACAATAATTGTTTGCTATGTGTTAAAATGATTTTTTCATCATGTTACTGTATATTACCTTTTACTGTTCGTATTATAAACTTACGTTGCTCTTCTCTCTCCATCCGTAGTTGCTCATGAGAGGTTACAAGATCTGCTTCCACGAATCGTTCACAGACATGGCCAGAGGTAAACCACACAGACAGCATGGAATTTCACATTTTATCACATTTTTATGTAAAAAAAAAAGTGACACATATTAGCAATAGGCTGACAGTCTACAGAAATGTGGCGGTTGTTGGTTCGTACATAGTGACGTTTGATTCGCTGACAGGTGGCTTTTAGCTGCACGTTACAAACACATTTAGGTACAGGTCTTTACCTGCTTGTTATATAAATCTTAGAGCCCAACGTATTGTTGAGACGGAGAGGGTAAAATTCCAAGACAAATGAATTGATGTAAGTAACACTAAATAACACTAAGTTCTTAGTGTGTTTTTCAGATTGTCCTTTTTTTCCTTCTGTGTCGACCAAAATCTGTAGTAATTATGACATATTTCTTTTTACGTTCGCTTTTTAAAACGGGGTTGAAAAACCTGACGAAATAATGATAAAACTTGTCAAGATGTTCCAGATGCCTGGGAGACATCTTAAAATTTGGTAGTTATTCACATCGGACACATTTTTGATGTTGTAACTTCTGTCTCGGAACTGTTGGTCTCGGCCTTGTAAATATCACATGCAGATTTTGGTCCGTTTCTTTGTTTTGCTCTTTCAAATCACCCAAATCCCAAATCTAATTTAAGCTGCAGCCTTTTTTAAACGTGACCTTTATGGTAATGCTCATCTTTTTCATGTGGTTGGATTCGGACTCAGATATTGCTTAGACAGAAAATATGTACTGAAAACTGATGTGGCTCAGTACTTTGTTGTAGATAACAGTTGAATATGTCTCCAACGCTTCAGTCAAGTCATTCTCACAATTAAATAAATACATTCATACAGCTTTTTTGCCATAAAAAAATCTTTTACTAACGATTTTCCAGCCTGTGCATGTTAAGTGGCATCGTCGTTTCAAGACAAAACGTTAGAGCATGACATTTTTTCCACCAGTGATTTCATTGATGTTTGAGGAATCATACATTTTAAATTTGAAGAGCTGTGTTCTAGTGGTTACTGCATTAGCGTTTGCTTTTTTTTATTCCGTAAGGAAAGCACTAAACTGCTTTACCAAGTATTTCTAATTACAGAAGGATTTTAACCCTTAAAGACAGACTTTTGTTTCTCTTAAAATATGCAAACGTCAATAAAACCGTCCTTGGGTGGTTCTGAGGGTTTGAAAACGCAGGTGTGAGAAGAGCCCTAAAACCTGTGCAGTATTTTTAACCTTTGTCACTGCAGTCTTTAAATGAATGACAAGTGATCTCAGCGTGTGGGCGGAGTGAACGTTGACCACAGGCTGACGGGATGATACCGACGTAGGAGTTTTGTGAGACACTTATGGTGTGGTGCTGTCACTTCACACTGCACTTTTAATGGTTTCCACAGGTCGCCTATAGTTTGTCTCTGAAAATATTTTCGGTGTGTTTTTGCATTTCGACTAAAAACCTTCTGCTTTTCTTCTCTCTTGATATAATTGTTATCTTTTTTTCTCCGTGACACCGGCCTTATTAGAATCTCATAATAACTATCATGGGTGGGGAGAAATCTGCCCCCTCGTACAATTGACTTTTTCCGCTTCAAGCGTACAGCTTAAATGAGTGGACACATAGCTCATGAGCGGAGGTCTCAGGAGGCTGACTGTTTCCGTCTTCCCGAGGCTCTTAAAGTGCTCCTGCTGCATCCTCCTGCTGACTGCCAGATCGATGATGCCGCGCTAATGGGCCGACATCTGCTGGCTCGCGTGACAAGCTTTAAAGACCGTCTTAGACATGGCACAAACATGAGGACGGAGTCAGTTTTCATCATCCTAGCAGGATTTCATCCATTATTAAGTCGCACACATTTGCATGTTAGATCCTGGGGTTTTCTACACGGGCCGTACCACATGTTGATCCAGTGCTGAAATGTCAAAGTTAACGTGCCAAGAAAACTGGTGAATTTGAACCATCCTGAAGGTTATAACTGCGGCGTAGCTCGAGATGGACAGAATCTGATAAAGCCGGTTGAATGTGCGATGTCTTATTAAATGAGATGTGCATATTGATCTGAGTGGAGACAGAAATATTGATCTATTTTCCATCAGTCTAAAGAAGACTGGGCTGAGTCTGCTTTGTCTGTATCCCCACAGGCTTAGCAGGAGCAGAGGAGAAAGAGTAAAAAAATGTTGTTCGCCTGTTGGTAATATTTAAACCTTCTCCACCGTATGTGTGTGTGTCTGTTTTTCCACCTAGATGAAATGGAGTGGATGGCAGAGCTCTGTGGAGCAGCGGTAGTTAACGATCCACTTCTCTTTGACCAGAAACAGGTAAGAGAGCGGAGTGTCCAGTGGACCGTAAATGACCTTTCTCCTAAATAGATCTATTATTTTTTTAATAGAATTTTTTTTGGGAACATTTAATTTTTTGTTTTGTGGTTTTTCATACAAATATTTAATCTCAGATTATACAATACAGAGTAATAATCTAAATTTAGATTAGCTTCCTGTTGTGGACATCATAATTTCAAAACCTACAGTAACGCCCCATCAACAACTCTCAAACGCATTGAAGTGGTAGAAATTAGTACATTTCTAATTTTAGCTTTCTGATGTGAATTTATTTCCATCCAGTTGCTCCACTGCTGTACAAAAATAAACACCCTTGGTTTGGAATGGAAAAAATAAACACATGAAATATGTTGTCATTTTCAAGATGTTCAAACATTAATCGACAGTTTTCTGAATTTAACGACCCAGTGACGAGTTAACTTGTGAAAAAACAACAACAACCATATTATTCAGATGTTAGTCACGTTAGCAAAAGAGGCATAAACACTCGCTTATTTCAAAGAAAAGTTGGCTCGCTTTGAAAAATCCACAAATCAAGTCATTACGATGCGGACCAACACACTGCAGCATAATCACTGATCTGGTAAAGGGGAAATATTAAGATAGAGTTTGTGTTGCTCATACATAAAGTATATAGACATGGTTAGAAATACAGTATATATGATAATGTAGCCTAAAAGTGGATTTTGTAATGGTATATCGAATGACAGTACTAGGTATGATGGTGGATATTTAATACATACATACATTCTCTTTTTTTTTTACAATGACCTATGTGTAAAAAACCAAGCATATTTTAAACATGCTGGACAACCAGCTTTTATTTGCTAAATGTTTCACCTTTAGACTTTTTAAAGCTCAAATGAAGTCTAACTTGTTTATGCAATAATCCCACAGAAGTCCCAGCAGGTCCTCATCGTAGGATCCGGACCGACAGCACCATCATCCAATAACAGCAGTAAGTCTTTTATATTTGACTTTCAACCTGTTTTTTTACTAGTTATATCAATACCTGTCGCTCAGGGTGTAATTAATAATTTTTTGTGTTTTTAGAAGAGGATATTTTAGGCAACCTAACTCAATCCAGTTTTAGCCGCATTAAAAACATTACTGTGTGAATGTGAGGGAGTCCTTGCTCCATCTCCACACCGCAGTTCCTCCCTGTATTACCATGAGGTTTGTTGTGTTGAGTCATCTCGTCGGAACAGCCTCCAGTAGATGAGGAAAATGTTAATTTGGCTCGTATATTCAGAATGCTGCATCATGTCGTATTAGACGGCTGACTCTGGCATGTTCTGCCATGAAATCATATGTGAGGACCAGTTGGAGAGTGACAGAGCAGTGAAACGGCAGTCGACAGTCGCAGCCAAAATTGGACAGTTTTTTTTTTTTTATTCTGAGGTCGAGAGACGCCAACTTGCCGGGAAAGTGAGCGTTAAGGACGTTAGGCGGCAGAGAGATGGCCCAAAGAAAATGTCAGACGGGAGCTTAGGGAAGGTAATGCGGAGATGAGTTGGCCACGTAAGAGGAGAGCATAACGTGGCACAGGAAGGGCCGACAGTTTGATCGGAGGAAGTGACTCCATGCCCCCCCGACCCCACCTCACCCCTCCTGGCATTCTTACTCGCACTCCTGCATATTTAATGCCACTTTTCCTTTTTCACATCC